TTCGGCCTGGACATAATATGATTACTTAACATTGATGCAGTCTCGGCTATATTAACATCCGGCTGAGTTCCCAGGTGCTCCTGAAAACAGGCTTCGGGATCCGCCATGTGCGGATCCGCCTCACTTTGGTTCGGAATCCCTCAGGTGCTGGGATGAAGGCAAGACTGATCTCATCCCACGACTTCAGGCCCCCGATCTCGCGCGGGTGACCACTGGGTGACGTCGTTCGAGAAAATACCAAGGACATACCTGGACCATCCAATGGGTGTCCAATGGAGATCCCTAAGTATTTAGGGATCTCCATTAAACGCCCATTGGTATTTAGGGATCTCCATTGAACGCCCATTGGATGGTCCAGGTAGAATGATGCATGTTTTCAACAGGTCCCAGAATCATGGACCCAATTTGGGGTCATGCACACTGGACATACAGGGACCGACTTCTCAAACTGGCATTTGATTTTCAGAGCATACGTTGTTTGCCTTTGGATTCACTGGACACCCATACGCTTCGATGGTGGGATCCGATCCACTGTCTCTCTTCGTTTGGTTGGGAGCGGTGAAAGGGCACATGGGACCAGACGAGCTGTCGGGTACGTGGGCTGTTCTTGAAGAGGTTGAGCCCATGAGAAGTGGTTGAGTCAGTCATCAAGCTCACTGGCCGACTCAGTCATCCTTTGGCCTTTCCAAGCAGATCTTGTTCAGGTTCGCTGCGTTCGAGCTTGGAGGTCTAAGCCACATATTTTCAATCATTGCCGCTGATGCAGACGAACACTGTATGGGCCGTATGGGGGTATCGCAACAACTCAGGAGAAAATCAAGAGACTAGTTTTCCTTAAACGGACTAGAATGGACTTAATTTTTGGAGAGCAACATGTGCAGATTCGAAGCGCCTTGATTGGGGGAAAGTGGTTACTACCGGGTTTTCCTCTCTGACTCAGACTATAAAAAGATATAGTGTGCAGGTGATGCACGTGGGGAGTTGTTTCACGAAGGTGGTTGGTGTTTGTTTTCCTCTCTTGATTTCATGGAACTATCCATGGATTTTGCGTGTGTCCAGGACGTTGACAGGCGCTCTTCTTCTGTGCCCAAAAAAAGCACCCCAACGGACGGTTCCAGTGCATTTGGACCAGCGCAGCATTGATCACATCCACCGGCCGATGTGTTCCGTTTGCCCCAGAGGCTGTGGGGATCCTCTCCTTGAACAAAGGGTCGGTGCCTCAAGCGACACCGAACCGCATTGACCCACGCAACTAGGATATATACTGTATATACTGTATAAATGCTGTAAGTCATTTGTAAGTGGTACAGTTGTTGTATGGCGATTTCATTTCGTTGTGAGTAGCCGGGCACTGGCAACTCGGAAGATCTCGGCCATGGCTCAAAGATATATGGAGTAAACCTCCCCCGCATTCCAAATTCAATCAGATACGATACACCATGTTCATGCCCAATGGAAACAGGTTCCCTCTTCAGCATTTGAACCTGAAGTGATGCCCCTGACTTCAGCGACGAACCCGCCGCGTGTTGAAGCCAGCGACCTCCAAGGAGTGGCGTTGAAGATGCAGGACGGACTGAGCCAGTCTGAGCGTGCCAGACCGGATTTCAGGGAAGCCATGTTGAGACACCACCAAATTGGTTTCACCAGTTTATGATAGTTTAATCATATAATGTCTAATATAGATAGTTTGTACATCTTTGCAAAACCCAGTTGAGACATGTTGACACAACACCAATTTGTGTGTTGCAACTTGCTGCTTATTTGGGCGTTCGCAGGCACTGGGTGAGAAAGACAGCATCCGCTTTTCAGCGTTGATGCTCAGACACCGTTGCACTCCCGAATCGATCACACACTCGGCTCAAGACGTCATTGGGCCGTCCTCGAACCGACGAAGACGTCGACGACGTCGCAGGTGCATCAATTCCGGTCCTCGAACTCGGCCAGAGCTTGGACGCCGGGACCTCCAGAGCCCGCTCCCCGAGCCGTTTCCGCCGAGGTTCGGTTCGCGGTCGCGGGTGGGGGGTGGGCGCGGAGGCTCCAAGTCGCTGACTTTAGGGCCCCAAGGACCTGCTCAGAAGGTATTTGGACACTCCAAACCCACCCCAGTCCCACCTTCTCACAAGGTATGGAGCCCCACATTGAGTGTTCCGTTATCCATTCACCGCTATCGCCTATAATTTCTCTGAAACGTTGGTGCAAGGATTAAACATCAGGGCTTGGGCCAGGAGCCCGTGGGTTGCCATATTATAGAACCACTTGGAACCAGAGGTTTGAAGTCCTTTTGATTTGATATGATTTCATGAAAAGAACTTCAAGCTCCCCCTGCGAGATGGGTGATCATGTCGAGGAGGGGGCACTTCCTTCGTCCACGCCGCACGCCGTGGCTGCGTCGAGGTCGAGGACGTGGTGAATGCGCTCGTCGAGGACGACCTGGCGAAGGAGGCCGGTTTGGACGCTGCGGTGAGCCTGGCAGAGGTCGGACGCTTGCGGTGAGCCTCACAATCAAGGCGAAAAGGTCCTAGTACGCTTCCTTTGCTACTATTTCTATCTATTTCTATATAATTCTAACTCAATTCCAATTATATAAATCCTAATTCTGATTTAATTTCTTGTTTCTAATGGCTTCTTGTTCCTAGTAGTAAGGCCAGGAGCCCCGAACGTAGCGATGCCCTTTGCTCCAAAAAACCGCGAACTAGAATAGACCGTATGACACCACATCGGTCCATGACACCACTAGAATAGACCATGTCCCAGACAGACGCTCCATGGGATTGCCATAGGACTGCCGCCCCATTGACCCCCAGTCAACCACCCCTGGCCTGATCGGCAGTCCGACATGGCAGTCCCATGGGTCGTGTCTGGGATATAGACTGTTGGATTGGACTTCTTGGAACCACTCGAATTTCAGACGACTGCGGTGACTGCCGTTCTTTCACCCGTGGGTCATCGTCGCAGTTCGCAGACGACTCGTCTCATGCTTAAGAAGCTGAGCCTGTAGTAGTGGTGGTTTCAGATATTTGTTAGTTTAACCTTTATATACGTGAAATGATTGATCCTACTGACATCTACTAACTAATATTATTCAAGCGAGTTTAAGACACCAAGCAGGAAGATATATAGAGTGGCTTAGTATGGCTTAGTGAAACGTATGGCTTATTGCAACGACTTCATGGCATTGATTGAAATTATTGATGACTTGGTTTGCACTGGAAGCCCACGGCATTGGCAAACCCTACCAGCCACCCGGCCACAATGGAACACGTCTATATAAGACGGAGTTTCCCAGCCCCGCTCCACGGAACGTTTTCACCTCCACGTCACTCTCGAGTGACGGACGTTTCTTCGGAGTCACTTGAGTTCCGGCCGCTCAGTTGCTGGACGTGGTGCCGCCATCGGGACCTTTGACGCTGAACTGACGGGCCTTTGTCCGGGCCGCGCCAGTGGCGCGGCGGTGGATGGATCCGAAGATGCAACAGCCGTTTGCTTTTCGGAAGATGCAAAAACCATTGGATGGGCGCTGTTTTTTCTTCTTTGTTTCGGGGGACTAGGCTAGGGCCTAGGGCGGAGCTCGCGGTGTGCAACTAAAAGGCCATCTCAATCGAAGAAATGACCTAAGACAGGGCTCAAAGGTCCTGCTTGTGCTGTTCTCAGAAATCAGAGTTGGTCACTTTGAACTGTCCATGTCGGTTGTTGTACTTCCGTCTTTTCTCTATGGCCACAAGTCTCAGAAAACGCATGGCTAGCCGCAAGACAGACGCCGTTCGACAGCTGAGCCAGTGGGGTGCACACCCGATCGCCGTGGGGCGGAGATCTCCGGGGAGTTGTGGAGAAAAGCGCCACCGGGCACGCGTGGGCCGCTTGGCGGAGTGGTGGGTGAAGCTCTGGGATGAAGTAGTCTAGCAATCCACTACAATTGACGTGAGGCATGTCCAATTTTTTGGGGGGTGCTCTTCTCTTCAAAATGCTGTGATCCATTGTGGTCCAGCTTCTCTTTTGCATGATTTTTGCTAAATTGAACAACCACCGACCACCGCTGTTGCTTTGTGGCAGAGTTTTGGGGTCAATCCCTGAAAACTACTCCTCTAAAGTTGGTCAATTTGTTTCCTGAACAGTTGCCAATGCCTTGTTCACACGCTTGTACTTTAACTTCAAATTCTTCATCAAATTGTACTGTATAGTTTATATGTTTGTTTCTCTTCCCAGACCCTAAGTAGCTTGAAGATCTTCCCCCCTCCACAGAACATGTCCCTCCCTCCCCATGAAGAGATTTGTTCTAGAGAAGCCATCCAGATCATGCAGGGTATGTGTTCTCGCTGGCTTCAACTCGCAAGACTGACCAGGCTGACCCGGATCCCAGTCGTTGTGTCAATGAGTGACCCTTAGGACATCGAAGGGTTGTCGGGTTTGTTGCCCTTCTTCCTGCCCAATAGGCTATAGGGCGCCCTTTTTGGGATCAAACATGATCAAACAGAAGCTTTCAAGTTGTTGTCCAAAGTGAGCCCTTGTGTGATCCTCATGCTGGGCCAAGTTGGGGCGCGTTTTTGGGCGACGCGTTTGGAGACCTTGTGTGAGACTGAGACATACGCGTTTACCGGGTTGTGTGGTTCCCCTGGCTGCTGCAGGACAGCATTTGAGGCGGATAACATGGTGAGAGTCGTGAGCTTCAGCTTCCGGTGTGATTAGGGTGGACGCACCAGTGTGTGTCACAGAGATCTAGTTAGATTATGTTAGATTCCTTTTGCTTGCCAATCTTTGAAGATGTAGCCCACGTACTCGAAGATGCAGTTGAGCACGGCTCGCCCCACACGCGCCTGGTGGCTCCTCTCAGGTGTGACCAGCAGTCTCAGTCTCCGATTGATGTGCAGTCTTCCAACTTGAATAACGTTCTGTTCACCAGCGTTCTCGGGGTGTCTGGAAAAAGGGGGGGCAACGGGCAACGTGATTTCTCATACTCCAAGCTTTTCTAACCACATCCCAACAGTGAAATGAAGCTCTCACAGACATTTTCAGAGTGTGGGTCATAAGAACTCCCTCTTGCCATGGCTGGTCAACCACTTTGGGCGAAGACTGTCTCCAGTGCTGTCGCGGAGAAGAGCAGTCTAGGCCGGTCCGGCTGAGGGCCTTCCGGGCCGTCCGCTCCGTCGCGGAGGCTTCGTTCCGCGCGTGGCGGTTCATGGCACGCACCGGGCTTCGGGCTTCGTGAACAGCGTCGACCGACACCGCGCTTCGACCGACACCGCAACTAAAAGGCATCCGATGCTTTAGTCGAAACTATAATGGAACCAATACCCTCAAGGCTGGAGTCAGCCCGAGAAGCATACTCGCTTTTTTGCATGGAGCCACTCTATCAACAGGAGCGGTAAATGAACATGGTTCCACTTCGTCGTTTTAAGTGCTAGTGGAAACTCATCATTTGTTGGCAAGAGTGTCCTGTCGGAGAATTCATCCAACACAGCTTAGAGAATCTGTGCGGGTCCGCCCACTGCTGGTGGCATCCCCCGACCTTTTATTATTAAAAGTGGCACTATTCATTGAAATCCATCGCACGCCAAGCAACCACGGGCGAGGCCAAGTCTTGATCTTGGCCCTGCAGAAAGCATGGCGCAGTGGTTCGGCTGGATTCGTGGCTGGGACAATGCAGGCAGGGAAGTTCCTCTCAGCTCACCATCCTGTGAGCAAACCTGACTGGCCTGTTTGACACAAAACAACTTTGTTGCTTGGAGAGCTGGAGAAGATGTACAGTGTACGAGTTGGTCGGCCATCGGCTTCCTTGCAGGTGCTGGCGTTCATGTGGCTGCGCACTGCGATGAATTATCAGCCCCTAAACTGCAGATGCTCCAATTCTGGTAGAGGCAAACTTTCCTGGAGGCAGATTTTTGGCATCCGATTTGCATGCTGTTTGGTGGTTCCTTATTCCGACACATGTGAAGCTACCAGTTTGTAGGGCAACAGAATCCATTCAATATCATTTAATTACATCGACTCCGTCACAAATCCAGGCACACAAAAGCATGCAGTTGCAGTTGGGATTTGAACATGTCACTGGAGGTACAAGTTCGGCGGAACTTTGTTGGAGGTCTTGAAGAAGCTTTGGGCTGAAGGAGGCACGGAGCTCACTCGTGCGATCTCAGTGTGAGGGGTTGTATCCAGAAGTGCTCCGCACGTATGACGAGGGTGAGACGATGTGCTACGTGGGCGTGACTTTTGACCAAGTCAAGTCAAGTCTCCTAAGTTGAGAAGCAATTCAAGTCAAGTCAAGTCTCCCAAGTCAAGTCAAGTCCCCTAAGTTGAGAAGCAGTTCAAGTCAAGCCTCCCAAGTCAAGTCAAGTCTCCTAAGTTGAGAAGCAATTTAAGCCTCCCAAGTCAAGTCTCCCAAGTCAAGTCAAGTCGCGTCTTAGTTTAGCTCTGTGTTCACACCGTCCTTGTTCCCTCGATCAAGCGGCCTTTCGGTCAGATTCCAAACACATACTTCGGAGGTGCAGGTGCAGTTCGGACCTCATAAAAACAGCTGAAGAGTATGCTGAAGTTGAAATGTGTTTCATCAGACCGAATGTGCCATGTCGGCAGTCGGTCATCTCTGCATTTTGTTACTTCCGCGCACAGTTCCAAACCCACACACTCGCAACAATCGCACTTGCTCGTGTTTTTTTCAATAGAGGACTCAATCAAATTTATATACGAATCAACCCAATCCTATCGACCTTGGCGCTACCCAAAACCGCCCAAAAGGCACGGCTCCCCAAGCACCTGGATACATCTCTCCCACCTCATCCTCATCCGCCAAAAAAGAACCCAGAAAGTTGAAACGCCTTCAGAAGCGCTCAGGGCCTAGGCACTTACTCCGGGCCAGGCCTCCCACGCCTCTACCAGGGCCTCTTCCCGTGGGCGATTTTCCAAGCGCCGCTCTCCCGCTTCGGCGACGTGGCCGCCAACGTGGCTCGGCGGATTGGCTGACCGGTGGTGGTCATAGGGGGGGACTGGAATGGTTGACCCAAATTGACCCAATCATAGAAGTAAATGGGCCAGTAAAATGGGCCATACATGCAGTGGTTTGGGATAGCAAGAGAATGCAAAGCAGTTGAGTGACACTGCGAAGGTGTCAGCAAGAGGCACTTCAACATCATGCATGCAGCACGACACTTCGACGTTCTTCGATTCATGAAGGATCAGCCTGTTCTCGCTGCAGTCCCATATAGCCTGAGAGCCATTCATCTCCCACCTCCTCCAAGCCACCTCCTTGTTGCGTAGTCCGAGACCTGGCCGTATACTGGATTCGAGCAGTCCAGGAGTAGGTGAGTGGATGTGTTCTGAGCAATACACGAAGCACCCCCCCTCCAATCACCACCCCAACTTGAGAGGGCGAGGAAGTCGCTTCGGAACGCAGAAAATAGTTCGCTTCGGAGCGCGGGAACGGTATCGCTTCGGAACGCGTGTCAGAGCTAGTAGGTTGGAGGCCATCGCTACGACTAGTCTGCACTGTCTGGTTGCTAACTGCAACCCACCCCCCACCCCCCACCCCCCACCCCACCCCCCCCACCCAACCCGCTCATTAGTTTGTACAGCAGAAGTGTGCTTTGAAAGGCCATCAAAACGTGTGTGTGTGTACCGGTACCTAAAACAAGAAATCCAGCCTCCGGGCCCTGCTTGTACCTAAAACAAGAAATCCAGCCTTTGCACCGGTTTGCTCTCGGCAGTCACGCATAGGGCTTTGGTTTCGGACGACGTCACTCTGTCGCTCGGTCGTTCGACGGTTCCTTTAGAGTTGATGGCCACGCTGAACTTGATGGACCTCCACTTCCTTTTCAGGCTTCCTTACCTGTACTCTTAGGAATTGGTAACCTAGGCCGGCGTGTGGCACCGCTTTCAGTTCAGTACACCCTATCCTAAGTGTGTTTGGCCTCGTGCCAACCCGGGATGAGCCCGCAGAGTGCCTCCCGTGGACCCGTTGAACGGGTGTACGTCGTTATCTCCCCTGCCTGGAGATGTACGTGTCCGCAGCGGACAGTAGCTGGCTTATGCCTTTACGTGACCGCAGCGGTCAAAGCAGCCAGCCGCTTCGGCAGGGCACAAGGTGACCACAGCGGTCAAAGTATTTTTGAGGTTCATTGGAACCTGTTGTGACCTTAGCCCCTTTCTCCCCCTTCCCTTCCCCCTTTCTTTCTTTGCTTCCTGGGTTTTCCTGAATGCAACACTCAGGATCACCCCTCTCTTTCTTTGGTGTGTCCCTGGACGCTTGTTCGTAGCTGGGAACACCTGCCTTTTTCTTTTTTCTTTCCTCTCCCTTTCTCTCCCTCTCTCTTTCTTTCTTTCCTTCTCTCTCTCCTTCCTCCCTCCTTGGGTGTCCCTGGATGCTTTTGTCATAGCTGGGAACCTTCTCCTCTCTTCCTTCGGTGTGTCCTTGGACGCATGCGTCGTAGCTGGGAACACCTTCCTTTCTTTTCTCTCCTTTTTCTCGTCTCTCCCTACCCCTCCCTCTTGTCGGCACCTTAGCTTGGGATGCTACTAGGGGCTCCTGGCCTTCCTACTAGGTGTTAGGTGTTTCTTTGACGCTACTAGAGGTTCCTGGCCTTTCCACTACTTGGGGACAAAGAGTCTCACACCACCTATGGCGCGGAGCTTAAAAATCTTGCCTCCCCTCAGGGAGGCGTGTGTGTGTAACCCTTGGAATCATAGGGATCCTTTCGGACTGTTTTTGCTTCACAGTTGTTTTCCTTGTGTAGCAGGGGCGTGTGGCACTCTCGTCCTACCACACGCAACGAAACTGTGGGCGAGAGTGGGAAGGGAAACTTGGCCAGTTTCCTGTACCTGCTGTGATAATTACTCCAATCTCCGGGTCCTGCTTGTACCTAAAACAAGAAATCCAGCCTTTGCACCGGTTTGCTCTCGGCAGTCACGCATAGAGCTTTGGTTTCGGACGACGTCACTCTGTCGCTCGGTCGTTCGACGGTTCCTTTAGAGTTGATGGCCACGCTGAACTTGATGGACCTCCACTTCCTTTTCAGGTTTCCTTACCTGTACTCTTAGGAATTGGTAACCTAGGCCGGCGTGTGGCACCGCTTTCAGTTCAGTACACCCTATCCTAAGTGTGTGTGTGAAGATGTTGACCTTGTCCAGTCTGGCAACCCTTTCAGCAGTTCAGAGTCGCACTGTTTGGTTGCTAACTGCAACCCACCCCACCCCATCCCCCCCACCCCACCCCATCCTTCATCCTTAAACCCTCCCCATCTGTGTCTGTGTGTGTGTGTTCTAAAGTGAACCAAAAAATCAGGTGCGTTGTGTTCCAAAGTGATCTCGCTTTTTGCTAACCCTTCCATGTTTTTGTGTGTTTTGTGTTCCAAAGTGACCCATGTTTTGTGTTCCAAAGCGAACTAAAACCCTGGGTTCCAAAGTGAACTAAAACTTGTGTTCTGAAGTGACCCCGCTTCCACTTGAGAGTGGTTCATCCATCTTCACTATTCAGATCTACTCAGTCTCCATACTTTGACCATGCTTGACCTGAAAAAGAGCCCTCAAAAGTCCGAAGAAGTCTCTCAAACATGTGAACTCTTACTCTCCACGCTCACACACGCTCACGCTCCCACTCTGGCATCGCACATGGCCGTGAGGATATGGTCTTGGTGCTCATTCCAGCCTTACTGCCCCAGGCGAGTCGAGAGTCACGGCACCGCCCGTCGAAGCACCGGGGAGACCCGTGCCTGTTCTGGGACCCGGGTTCGCGCACGGCTGTCTGTGTTTGGAGCTTGGGAGGGTCGTTTTGAAGAGTTTTCAGGACCCAGCTATCCCTGTTGGTATTTCATGGTATTTCCTCTAGAATGGGTTGAACGATCCCTTTGTGCAGCTCATCCGAGCTCATCAGTGACCAGTGACCAGTGACCTTCACAGGGCCCAGCTCATGCAAGATTGGACCACGTACGTGACCTGGACAGATGCTTGCCGAGTTTGGCTCTGTGGACGCTTCAATAAAGCCAATAGAGAGGACCAGCAGCATGAAAAGCGGATGTTACCGCAATGGGGGGGGAGGTCGGCGCTGTCTATTTTGATACATATAACTCATATATAACTATAACCTATAACTGGAGCTAACTCACGGTGGGTCTTTGAGCGATTTCCCTATTTGTAGGTCATGAGGAATGCTGAAGTTGATCAGCTATGATCAGCGTGTAAGAAGCATTTGCCCACACCTTCTACAGGTACTTCATGTATGTGTGAAAGGCCAAAGCCGTTCCAGCAGTTCCAGTGCTGGGAAATGGCTGTGGCTCAAGGATGCTCAAAGGATTCTTCGCATGACCCCCACTCTGCTTGTTTTTGATTTGAACTACTGGGGGTATCGGTGTCTGAATGTGTTTGACCCTAAACAAAAACGTCGAGTCGGGTAGTACGACGTCGTACGTGTCGCAGGTTCCTGTGAGCATCTCCACTTTTGTGGGCTCTTTGTCTAGTGCTGCATGGCGCATCGTCATCACCCCAGCAACTCAGCTGAGACATCTCCAAGCCCACAACAGAGCAGGGCTCGAGACATTGTTCGGAGACTCGTCGTTGAGCCACAGAATGCCATGGGTCTGTCATGGGTCTGTGGATATTCAATCGACAGAGCCTCCAAACCCCTCAGTAGTGGCCTTCGGTGTCCCGGGTGATTGTGGCTTGAAATGGGGATGCTTTGCCTCTATGAAATGCCTTTCCATCCATCACCAGGGATGCCTTCGTATAGATTCTATAGATAGATTCAACAGCTTGAGGTTTGGAGATTCGATGTGGTGTGAAGTTATGTGAAGTTAGCGATTCCTGGGCCTGATTCCATCGGAATGGTTGGATCTTAAGCCGAAAAAAAACATGCGTCCCTCTAGCGTTTCCTGTTTATTTGGCTTTGAATGAGGTTGAAAGACTCCCCCAGAAGCATGTTTTTTATGTTCTTTCATTGCAATGGTGGGTGAACGTTGTTTGTTTACCGTGCTGCAGCGCATGTTTCTTGGACTTCATCGCTTCCTCTCCGATCATTTGAACTGCCAACCTTCAGCCAAACAAGGGCTTTGTGGGTGGATCTGGAAGCCAAGACCCCGGGAACAAGCGAAAAAACGATGCCGTTTTGACAGATGAGGACTTCCTCTAACCAGCTGGGGACTATACTTGTAGATCAGTTTGGAGGTGGACCATTCATCAACTGGGAGATAAAGGTCCGCCGCTCATGCCCTCACTGTAGGCGGATCAACCTCAAATTCTAAAATTGGCATCTCATGACATCCAGGTCTATCACTACCACCCAACCTCTTCAGAGGAACCGGAGCAGAACACCCGTCCCGTCCGATCCTGGTGGAGGTCCGGAGTCGGAGGGCCTTGGGTCCGGTTTCATACCCTGCAGATGGCAGGGCCTACCGGGCCTTGCAGGGGTCGGGTTTGAACACGAACGCCGACATCATGACCTACCCCAGTGGGGTATCCCCAGGTAGACACCTGCAAGACCATCCTCCAGACCGATGGCTCCAAGGCAGTTGGGTCTGTGAAACTCTGGTTTTCATGCGGATGGAAGGACAAGCTGGTTAGAACTGTTGGAATAGAATAGTAACAAAATCTGTGTCCGATTGTCCAGTCCGTTCTTATTAAACCATGTCGCAATGGTCTGCAATGTGTTATGTTTTTCAGATGGGAGGCTCAGGACTTTTGGAGTAATGCGGCAGCTTAGAGGCTTGATTTGGTATTCAAAATATCAAGCAATTGAAATGGTTCCGAAGACGCAGACGCTGGCAGGGTGTTTCCACATCGAATGAAAACACACACACCGTTTCCCAACTGTGCTGGTAATCCTTGCAGTTCACCTCGGAACAAGTGTGCTTACTCAGGGCTGGGTCATGCTGAAGGAGAAGATGGCGAAAGGTGGTGTCACAGTGCTGTGGGCTGGTTGGGAAGGGAACTACATGGCGAACGTGATTGGCAACTACCCATGGTTTGCCACGATGAATGTGCTGCAGAAGCACGTTGCTGGATGCAAGCGGACGTCGGACTGGCGGTGCGGTTCAGAAAGGGTTTGGGGCCAGGAACCAGAGATATGTTGTTTGCATGTTGTTCCTATTATGCTGAAATGTGGAGGAGCTTTGTTTGCTCCAAGACACAGATTGTTCATCCATAGTCAAGTAGATGCTCCATCAACTGCGCCATCATGGACAAAGCTCGAACGAACCTCCCGGTGGAACACCATGAGAGCATCGCACTGGAACACCCGGGGGGCGCTGGGCTGTTCCCATGACGCTCAGGTTCCTGTCCCAGAGGGGAACTTCATGAAGCTCGTGAGGCAACGAATGCATTCGGAACACCAACTGGAGCATCACTTGGGCTCTTCGGAGGGAATGGCATGGCGTTTAATTCAACGGAACTATATTATACCAGCTCTGGTCTCGCATTCTCAGGGACCTGCACCCAGATGACCCGACACCCAGTTCTGCTGTGGGAACTGCCAACCCCCAACCAAAAATGACCCCTGCGGGTTTGATTTTGACTGACAAATAACCAGTTCCGCAGGGCTGGGCAGGATGTCAGCTGTCTTGTTCCACTCAAATCTGCAACATCGACGGGGGAGGAGGCTTGCATACCTCAGGTGAATCCAGAATCTCATGTGAGGTACGATCAAATTGAACGGACAACGAGTGACAACGACAAGATATGGATGTTTGACCTCAAAACATGTATTTCTTGAGCAACAGACCACCATATACAATATTGAACCTGAAGAACGGTAACACACTCACCACATCTTGATGTCCTTTGATGTGATTTAAAGTTAAAGTTGTGACCGTGATGCATGTGCGAAGAGCTAGCAAACATGTCCTGGGGCACTTGTCTATAGATTTGGAAAACTCAATGGTGCAGTCACTCTAATGCTCGCATCACAACGAAATAGGTCCAGTTTGTGAAAGACGTTCTGATCGTTTGGAATTATCCTCAGTGGTTTGTTACGGGATACATACACATACATGTAATTATATCAACAGCAATGACACCACAAAGTAAGATCTCCCATATTGTTTTCTCGCGAACGTTGTGTTTTACATTTTACATGCTGAACTCCAAGTGTTTGTTGCACGTGTAGCGCTCCAAAGGCTCCACACTCCAAGTGAGAAAACGACCAAATTGCGCCAAAGCTTGGTGCGCGGTTCGTTTGTCGTCTTTTGTAGCACATCTTTGGCTCTAAGTTGCCTCCAATGGAGGCCTTCCGATTGATCGTCTCCTGGGGGTGTTTATATAACGGGGCCGCTTACCGCGGCTTCGCTGGTCGCTGGTCGCAGGAGTGCCTTCATTGGAGCAATTGCCTCGTCAATCAGCGATGTGGTGCTTTGGTGTGTCAAACCAAGCAATGTAATAGTTATGATATACATGTTTTATATATAATACTGTTACTATTTGTTTTTATTACTGTTATGTGCAATAGTTTCGTTATAGTTATGATATATGCTTTTATATGCGCAACATATATTACAATGTGGTTTGGTATTGTTTTAATCCTTAAATAATTGATGTGTAGGATGAAGATTAATCCACGGTACACTGTTGCAAAAGAGTGTGGCTAGAACTACAGTAGAGCTTTGTGCTGTGTGCAGATATTTTGTGGGGGAGTCATCCAAGTGCACGGAGAATCAAATTCAGCCATGACAAACCCACCGAAATCCATTTTGGAGCATTTACATGAAGTGGCCAGCTTTGTGTCCAAGAAAAGCATCACAAAATCAACACTGACTCGCTTTCAAACGGCCAGAAACACAGCAAGGAGAAGCTTTGATGGTCCTTCCGCTCAGGTGGCGAATTCCATTCGAGTGATCAAGACCAAAAAACAAACCAGCAACGACAACTGCAGCTACTTCTCCGCGACGCAACAGATCATCGAAAAGGACGGGGTCCCCGGTCAGTCGCGAGCTTCAAGGGATATTGCATAGTTGCAGCAGGAACATTGTTGGAGGTCACGTGCTTGGACATGGAAACGAGTGTCTCTCAGATCCTATGACGTCAGTTGCAATGAGTGAAATGTTCTTAACGGTTTGCTGCAAGCTGAGCCTTGCGTCCTACCAACTTTGGAGTTAGCAGTTAGCCATGCCATGCGAAAGCCGTGGGAGAAAAAAGCTCCCCTCCTCTCCTAGGACGGGATCTCGGGTGTGTTCTTCCGCGGACTGAGCACTCGAGTTTTCACCAACATCTTGCAAAGTGCCTTTTTTACCGTGCTTTGGAAGTACCTCTCATCGAAGTAGAGGCCGTGCGGGCCACACTCCAAGACGCGGAGATGGGGTATCAACCTGGGACGTTCGGTCAGCAAGCCATGCAGAATCAGGACAAGAGCCTAGAGCACCGTGTTCCACAGTTCGAAACAGAGGGGTTCATTTGGGGCCCCACGAAGAAGAAATCCTGTGCCACCTCATGTCTACACCGTTGATCTTGTGGATTCAGGAAGGATCTTCCAGGCACAAAGTCCTTTGCCAAACCGACCTTCCCAGAATTGGTTCAGTACAATTAGTCTGCTCATATATGTTCTGTTGTATGGTGTCTTTTATTGGGTGGGTTCATCATTGGAGGAATGGGTTAACTCATCGTTGATCTATCGTGAGGGTCCCCATTGTTTGCCCGTCAGGCCATTTCTGGATCTCAGGTGGTTTACCGGATTTCTTCCATCCCAGTTCGCCCGATCTTCCACCAGATCCGCGTGTGGTCGCCGCTCGTTGTGCCACCGTGCCGTGCTGGAAAAAAAAGAGAGAACGCGCGATGGCGTGAAAAGGGTGGAGGGAGGTGGAGAGCGTGTTTGAGGTGAAGGCGTGTGAGGTATCTCTTTGAGCGATCGACGCAAGTGACCAGTGACCCGCGAGGCGAACGCCTGGGTCACGCCGCTAGGATGAAGGGCTGGGATCACGGCCGTTTGGAGGTTCAACGGTTTTCAGATCAGCTGCCCTAAGAATCCGAGCGGGCTGTCCATGGCAGAGGTCGGACCCGACACCTTCGCAGGGGTCCGGGCCGAACCGAACCCTTTCTGTTTGAGGGCCCGGATTCTTAGGGCATAAGAAGTCCTGCACCGGTCGGGACAAACGAATCTATGTCAGATTGCATTTAGCCTTTCCTGTCTTCCGGATGAAGGTAGCTGTTTGGCTTTTGTCGTGTGACACTCGTCGAATCAACTACTGTAGCATGGGCTGCTGCCTGTGCAGAGAGAGAGAGGTGCCTGAGTCGCAATTACTTTTGCATTTAAGACCATCCTGGAGTATATAGTTAGAATCTGAACCAATCCAAAATATGACCAGTTTCCTCTTGCTGTTTTTTGGATGTTCCATATTCTGATGGCTGTGCGAACACTCCGGTGCTTGTTGTTGGTGTACTTCATCAGGATGATTATTGAATATTATTGATATTATTCCCAGACACTCCATGTATGCCATATATGCCTACATTGGGATGCTTTGGAGGGTCAATGGGGCGGCAGTCCGTCCTGGCAGTCCCATTAGTCGTCTTTGGGATAATCGATTTGTCGCCGTGTACGTCGATGATAAAGTGATAAAGTGACACCATTCACTCTTGACCAGTCATGGTTCGAATATGTTCGATCGTCAGTTGCATGGAAGATCTGGGGTTTACATTTAGAACCAACCATGCGGTGCTTTCTACGGATCCTGACACCGAACAGTGATCTCCTTTCATCGTCGCCTGAGGCCGTGTGCCCTGAGGCCGGTGATCTTCCAGTGTTCCAGGGACGTAGGCACGAGGTACCGGTAGGATCTTCCACAGTGCATTCCAACATTCAATTGATGACCCCTAGGTGGCCCGGTAGCCCTATACTGGTTCTGTATTGACCAGTGTTTGGGCAGGGGCCTGGTAACCAAGGCCGGCCAGCCTTTCTTGGCACCAAATGATGCCAAATGTCACGCTTGGCTTTCCATGTTCATTCCGAATGCCTAGAGGCAGGTTCTTTTGGGTCATTTATGTTCATTTATTTATTTATATTCATTTGTCACATCAAGCCTTGTCACGAACAGTGCGTTTGAATTGACCGTACCGTGCCCTTGACCGCACCGATCTTTGGCTTATCATTGTCCCTCCAGCGATTCAACCTCAACAGTCATTATAAGTATACAATACCCAGACACTCCATGTATGGAATATATGCCTACATTGACCCCCAAACCACCCCAATGTAGGCATATATGGCATACATGGAGTGTCTAGGATATGGGCCAGGTGAACGCGGTTCCTGCAACTCGCATGTCCGGATTCCAAGCTGAACGAAAAGAGCCAGGGAGAACGAACCAGGGAGAGCCCTGGGGTGCCTTTTTTGACCCCACAAGAAAAAGGCGGTCGACCTTCCTAGCTATAGTCGTTGGAAGGTCTCAGTTTGCCAGCGCCTGCCATCGTCTCCCCCCTTTCATCGACTCGTCTTATGGTCAGCGATCGCAGGTGATGGCGATCGCCGGCGGGGCTCCGCCTGTTTCGAAGGCGAGAGCGAAGACTGGAGCGGATGCAGCAGATGTGTGAAAAAAAAGGTCAGTGATTTATGTTTGGAGGTACAGGATGATTTCTTGGATCCCTTATCGTCTGGTGTATTGAAAGGCCCTCCCCCAATACCCAGAGCCGGTGCCTGACGCGCAGGAGCCGCAGCCAGCGGATCAGTTGCCGAGCCCGGGGCGCTTGGAGAAAGCATCAGCTCATCTGTGTGGTGGTTTCAGATGCTTCGATGTTCAACCCTTACCTTGGAATGATTGACCACTGTACTACTGGTGACTATACGTTTCAATATGTATATATATATATATATGTTTCAATATGTTTCAAGTGAGTTGAAACCACCAGCCAGTGATGTTGCTTTTGGGATGAGTTGATGGACAAGTTCAAATTATATATAGCAAACACTCAACATCCTGCCACTGAAAGAGCTTAATGAAATTGGAGAAAAGTGAGAACAGTACCCGTACGTGTTCTGGCTGGAGAAAGGCTTTGGGAAGCTCCGGCTTCGTTCAGCCCGAAGATCCCCATGTTCTGTTCAAGCCCACAATGGCAATGTTCAGGGTCAAGGTAGGCATATGGCACATAACAACATAATGGAATGTTATATATATAATATAGATATATTTTTCACACAGACATATACATATATATATATATGTATAATCATATATTCCACATCAGAGTCATGCAGCCATGGCATGTGGAAGGGCTTTTCTTCGCTTCACGTGTGGCTGAGATCTACTGACAGCCCCCAGTCCAGCCGTCCCGGGCTCAGTGCAAAGCTCCTGCCGAGAGCCTCTAAGACTGGCCACGCAGGATGGGTGACCGGACCGGAAATAAATCGAAATGATACTTGGACCCTCTCAGCCTCTCAGCCCCCCAAAAAGACATGGTTTGGGCGGGTGGAAAAACCACACCCCTTTGGCTCGTGGGATCAACCATTGGATTCACTTCACTTCAATTGGTCAATTCAATCGGATTCAGCATGATTCTCGGGTGTCAAGATTGTTGTTCCAAAATTTAGCATTATAGAGGGCCCTATTACTAATCAACGTCCAACATTACAAATGAGCCGGAACAGGACTTTAGTAGAGATGGTGTCTATGTTGGATTGTAGACCCTATGGTCGAAGTAATCAATCGCTCCGCGGTGTCTTCCAACATCTCCAGCGTTTGTGCCGCCTGACACAAACTCTTTAGACTTGGAACTTTAAGAAACAACAAAACCATAAATAATAAGTATAGTCCGCACGTGTGCACATTTGACCTGTTTCTTCTTCTTCTTCTTCTTCTTTCTATTCTTGACTGCTGAGCCACCCACCTCCCAAGCCAACCGTCTTTCTTGCCAAGTCGGCTTGGCATCCTGAGACCGACCGGCCGAACAAACTGCTTTCAACCGGGTGGGCTCAGGAGGCTCCATCTCCATGATCCTTTTTCATTGAAGCATTGTCGAAAAGACAACACATGATAACACATGGGCATTTGGAACCATTTGAAATTAGCCCCAAATAGTACACACATGCTGCCACAAGACTGGAATCACATCTAGATACGGTGAGACAAGCGAAACTGCAGAAGTATCACCTTATTAGGATGTCCAATTCTTCCGAACCAATGAGCATGATGGAGTAGTCAACCTTAAAGAAAGAGAGCGGGTAGTCAAGGAGGGTGGGGTTGTGAAAGTTGTGACTTTGCAAGGTGTTGCTCTTTTTGCAGCTGACATGACATTGATATCACTACCCTCTGAAAAACGCATGTTTCTACAAGCTTCACCACTCCACCCCCCACGAATACCCCTTCTGTGAAGAAACTCACCTCTAGCTACTCGTGGTTCCTATAGGAACACGTTTTATGGCAGTGCATGTTTTTTGGCGCGATTCTGCCCTTGCCAGGCAGAGATGCGTTGAATTTCGCACGGGACACTGTCAAGATCCAATGTTTGTTTTCTTCATGTTTCTTCTATGCTCGTATGACTCTTTTGACTGTGTGATTCGTTTTGGAAGATTTTGGAAATGCTCGATGACTTTGCGGATCTGGTAGGTGTTTTTTTTTAAGGGTCCTCTATTATGCTAAATAGTTTGGGGATCCGAATTTTTTATTATCTGAAACATATTTAGGGTTAAGTATATTTCCTTAGGAAAATAGATATATTAATTCTTAATACTACTAAGCCAATGGTTGGCTTTCTGAGAGTATTGATAAGTATAGGTTTCCATAGTTCTTCTTCAAAACTGACAGCTTCCCAAAACCATCAATTCCCTAATCAATCCTTTATGAAAAGATTGCTCCTAAACAAATGTTCAAGGTAGTAGACCAGGAAGGCCCGTGATCCTCAATAATGAATTTGTTTTCAGGGTCCTCAAGTGTGCAAAGTGTTTTCCTGAAGAAACGTATAAATACTACTACTGCTACTGCTACTGCTACTGCTACTGCAACTACTACTACTACTACTACTACTACTACTACTACTACTACTACTACAAAGAGAGAAAGGAAAATGAATACTACAATCAATTACAAAAGGAATCCTCCTAGGAAGCCAGATTTGTTTTGGTTGTAGTTTATTACAGAGGCTCCCCCATTTGTTTGAGGGGGGGGTCCCTTTTACTAATCAAGATCCAACAGTAGTTACCATTTGACACGAGCGTTCATCAACTTAGTATCCGGTTCATTTGATTTAGGCTAGAGTGACCAGCCAAAAAGGATAAAAACAACACATACATGCAGCATTACATGCATTAAAACATTCTTTGTTGCCATGTATTTTCAGAACCCGTTTTCTTCAGTTGTCATTTTGGAGGGTGGAGGATTCACTTGGAGTCATGGGCTCAGTTCGGAACCCGAGCCCACGAGGCTCGCCGCCGAGCAGACTTCGAGGCACAGCATCAGGAGGAGGCGACGAACAACGCGACAAATCGATTGGGGAGAAGGAGGGGATGGGTTCCCAGCAGAGGTTGAAGAACCCGAACTAGACTATCCTATAATACCCCTGGTTACGGGTAATAGTTCAGGTCACTTAACCTCTGTTGGTCCCTGGAGGGCCAGGATGGAAGTTTCCCCCCAAACTGGAGGGCGACGTTTTCGATCGGTTTCGATCTGTTTCGATCTGTTGATCGATGTTTGGTCTTTCGTCACCTTGAACAATTCGGCCCTTGTTGGATGGAGTTGTTGGGGGATGTTTGGATGTGGAAGGTGGGCCTGGTTCCAGGGCCTGGACGGGCTGTTTTTCAGTGGTCCACACCGATGTTCAGCCGTCCTTAGTGGAAGGTGTTCACATATCACTCATGTCACTCGTGTCACATGTCTCTTTGCAGATGGTTCTGACCACCTTGGATTGTTTGGCCGTTTTGTGGTTTGCTCAACTCGAAAAAAAATGTCCGCTACCGGCTCATCAGCATTGTCATCGGCATGTGGGACACGGAAGTAATCTCGTAGAGTCGAAGGCCATCGCTGCCATCGTGTCAATACGGGATGGATACA